GGGGTTCCCTGGTCCCTCTGTCAGTAACAGGGGAGAGGAGGAGGAGGTTGTTTGGTATGGGGATTATTGGATGCATTAGAAAGGGGAGATTTAATGACACCGGTTATGCCTGGGGAATTGTGTTTGTCAGGCAATAGGTTCCCAGCAGCACCTCCTGGGGAGGGACTTCTACCACACAAGGAGGCCCAGGAGATGGACAGAGGCAAATATTTGTCCATGGGTTTCACAGGATAGTGAGAAGGAATTCAATTTTTGTGCATCGACCTTCTCCTCCCATACAGACCCCCACATGCTCACACAGAGCTACCATGTGCTCTAACTGCCCCATTTAAAAGGGTAAATTATGTTTTTGTTCCCCCTACTGTCCCTAAGAAGTTTCTCTGTCTGCTTTTGTTTTAATGCAGTATTTAACATTTTGATAATGTGAACTGATGGCATCCTTTCTGAAAGTATTGCCGAAATACTTTGAAGGCACTAAATCCTGTCTGATCTTGGAAGCTAGGCTGGATCAGCCTTGGTTAGTTTTAGGATGGGAGATTGCCAATTAATAGCAGCTACTTGTAGGCTGTATTTCCAAGGAAGGCAATAGCAAGCCAGCTCTGAGTATTTGTTGTCAGGGGATGCATCTGCACTGCAGAAATAATGCAGTTTGATAGTGCTTTGATTGCCACGGCTCAGTGCTATGGTATCCTGAGATTCATGGTTTGTCGTGGCACCAGAGCTCTCTGATAGAGAAAGCTAAATATCTCACAAAACTACAAATTCCAGATTTCCATAATATTGAGCCATAGCAGTTAAAGCTGTGTCCAACTGCATTATTTCTGCAATGCAGATGCAGCCTAAGCAACTGCTTACAGTTAGGGATGTGTACATTTTGGAACATTACACTTCAAACGTACAGGCACTCAGAGAGAACAACAAAGGCCAGCACAACCTTCCATAAGTGACAGAACCACTTGCACAAATGTGTGCAGGATATCCCATTTCCATGAGGACTGAGAAAAATGCAACCACTAATGCAGTAGTAAGAGTTATACCAGCATAACAAAACAATAGGATCCTGGCCATGGCTGGCAGGCACAGTGACCAGGAGAACTTAATGCTGCAACATTTTGTACCAGAGTACCATGTAGTGTGTGAAGTGCATGGGACATGACATTGCAATTGAACAATAACTTTTGTTGTTTGTTATTAACCAAATCAAGTTGGTCTTGACTTATGGTGACCCTATGAATGAGAGATCTCCATGTCACCCTATCTTCAACCACTTTGCTCAGATCCTGCAGATTCAGGGTGTAACTATATTTATTCATTATTAATTGAGCAGTTAACTTTATTTATTAATTATATTGATATTGCCCTCTTCCTCTAAAAAGCTCAGGGCAGCACACCCCAGGGCTAGTGTCATTTTATCTTCACAAGAAGCTGGTAAGGAAGGCTGTCATCAGAGTAGTATCAGCAACTGGACACATGCAGTGCAGTCAGACCGCTATTAGAGATGCCTTTGGGCAAGTTGGATGACAGACTTTATGGTCACTTCTCCACACAACGGCCTTTCTGCAAGTCTGCCTTGTTTGCTTGGCCATAAGATTAGCCTCCCAAAAGCTCCCTTTTGTTTGACCCACTTTGTCCAGTTTTAATTGCAGGCTTTATATATGTGGAAAGGCTTCAAAAGAAATCCATTCTGCCACTCCCCTCCCATGCTGTTAGCACAGAAAGTGCTAACAGGGTGGCTTTAATGCCATGATGAGAACCTAACTTTATTGCAAGACATAGCAGAAGAAGGCAGAGTTCTTGGGCAATGCAGAATCTGGCTTGAGTGTCAATCCAACATCTGAGAAAGATTTTGCAAGCCTTCACAACCACTTCTTATATATTTATAAGATAAGTCTAATATCCACACATCAACTGTCTCAGTGGATTTACACACTGAACTTGTCCATGTGCCAGGAAAAGGACTTTTTGTAAATAAACTTGTGTATGTGTACACACATGTACAATTTGAAGTGGTACAGTCCCTGCTGAAATGGTATGGTCCCTGCTGTGCCACCATGTGTGCCTTCTGAATATTTACATCAGGCTACAGCTTGTGGGTCAGAAACATGAGATTGTCCAGTCTGTCCCTGAATCCGAACTGTTGTTGGTATGCATCTTCAAGCCATTTATGACTTACGGCAATCCTAAGGCAAACCTATCATGAGCCTTTCGTAGCAGGATTTGTTCAGAGGAGGTTTGCCATTGCCGTCCTTGGAGGCTGAGAGCCTGCGACTTGCTAAAGGTCACCCAGTGGGTTTTCATGGTTGAGCTGGGAATCGAACCTTGGTCTTTAGAGTCGTAGTCCAACCCTCAAACCACTATGCCATGCTGGCTGGGAACTGTTAACTTTTTGGACCAGAATCTCAACAGGAGCCTTCCAGGAGTTATGGTTCAAATAGGTCACTTTTCCAAGCTCTGCCTGGAACCCATTTCATTTTTTTTAAGACTGCCACAAAATGCCATCTTGTCTCAGAAAGGCATAAAAAAGTTTTTCTTAATACATTCAGCAGAAATGAAATAACAAGAGGCCACTTGCTTGTGCCAGCCCAAGAATGGTGTTAACTGGCTGCGGCAGAGGAAATTTATTCAAACAGAAAGCAAATTGTCCCAGTGGTTTCCTTGCTCTTTTGCCCTGGTATAGCCCCATTTCTAGGGAAATGGGTCTCTTCCCTTCCTCTTCCTCCCCACTGTTCTCCCACTTCAGTCTCACTCACTTTTCACCTGGCAGATTCACTTCACCTCCTGCCAATAGTCTGCAAATTGCTTCCAGCCAGGCACAGAACAATCCCATCAGGAGCCATTACCAGCCTCTCAGGCCCAGGTGCAAACTGGGGGGAGGGGGGATGCTTCTGCATGGCAAAAACAAACAAACAAAAAGGGACAAAGGAGATTTATATAACATTTCCATATGCTGATTTGTATGTCTAGAATCTAGATGCTCATTCAGAAATAATTACTCCTGTTTAAATGAAAATGCCATCACACCACAGTGGAGAAGACGGTGCATGCTTGCTCAGTCTGCTATCAGTGACAAGGCATCTTCAGGAACCTTTCGAGGGTTCTGCATCTTTACATTACACTTGGAATGGGCAGCCATTCCAACATAGGATGCCTTCAAGTATAGCTATGGTTGCCAAACTTTTCTATGCCCCACACCCCTAGGAAATGTCTGATTAATATTAGCACCCTTTATTAATAATAATAATAATAATAATAATAATAATAATAATAATAATAATAATAATAATATCCCACCCTTTAGAAAACCAATCAGGGTAGCTCACAACCATAATAATATCACATTTGAACATGAAGAAGTCTAACTTCTAATTTTTGAACCACCAATTGAACCAAGATACAATACCGCAGGTGAACAAATTGAACTTAAAAAACAAGAAGCTTTTAACTCTATACATAAGATGCAAATCTAAACCAAGGAATTAGATTCTAATTTATTCAGAAAAAGAATGAGTGATGACTTGTGAAATGTCATCTTGCACACCTTGGCGGTATAGGCACCCTAGGTTGGGAACCCCTGAAGTATAGCATTGTTCACTGGATAGGAAACAAATACAGGCCAAGATTTTATACCCTTCAGTGTAGTGTAAATATATTCCAGTGCAATGCAGTGTATAACATGAAACAGAGCATTGAGCTCACCGAAGGCACAGTTAGTCCCCCACCATCTTCGGCTGCATCTGCACTGCAGAAATAATACTTCAACTGCCATGTAGGAGAAAGCTTATGCTACAACCTCTTTTGCTCAGTTAGTATCCAGGATGTTACTAGATCACTTTGCAATTTCAGTTTAGTCATTTTGACTTCTAGGGAGACTTCAGGCTTGATTTGCTCCAGATCCATTTATTTGTCTTTTTAGCAGTCCACGTAACTGTAAAACTCTCTTGCAATACCACATTTCAAATGAGTTGATTTTCCTTCTGTCAGCTTTCTTCACTGTCCAGCTTTCACAACCACAGATAGAAACTAATATGATGGTGTGGACAATCCTAACTTTAGTATTCAGTTATGTATTTTTAAACTTTAGGATCTTGTCTAGTTGCCCTTCCAAGCCCCAGTCTTCTTTTGATTTCTTGGCTGTAGTCTCCATTTTGAATAATGATTGAGCCAAGGTATGAAAAATCTTGTCTTCATTGTCTACTTTAATGTTATCTAAATCATCTGTGGTCATTATTTTTTTTCCTTAATGTGCAGCTGTAAACCCGCCTTTGCACTTTCTTCCTTGACTTTGTTCAGTAGTCACTCCAAGTCTTTGCTATTTCCTGCTAGTATTATGGTGTCATCTGCATATCTTAAATTGTTAGTGTTCCTTCCTTCAGCTTTCACACTTCCTTCCTGTCAGTCTAATCCTGCTTT